CATCAAAATTGAGAATTTTTATTGAAATTAATTAAGGGGAAGGGTTCGAGGGCTTACGTGGCGGAAAGGTAGTGGATGAAGATCCTACCGCTTTCTGAGAATGCGAGAAGACCATCTTTGCTGACAGAAATTTCTCCTTCCTCAGAGCATCGGGACAGTTTATCCTTCACAACACGGCGCACGATAGACCGGGGCAGCTCCTCCGCCTCAGCCATTCTGTTCTTCGAATAGGAATTGGGAACTGGGATGAATTTAGGGTTAGGGTTATCTAGTTCACCTCTTTTCCCGCCATTTTCAATTTCTTTTCCCATGCAATACGCGGCATGGTGATAAATTGTAATTATTAAAATTAAAATTTATATTTAATGCACACAAATAAGATAAAATATCAGAAAATCTATATTTGTAGATGAATATAAAATAAAACAATAATTAAAAGTTTTGAGGAAAGATATCTATGTATCATAGTTAAGTTTAGAAGAAAAAAAATATATCTACTTATAGACAAACAAAATTTCTTGTGTTTATATTTATAATTATATTTTTTTCCTTTTTTATTTTGTTGGTTTTGTTTAATTTCAATCTAAATTTTGTAATTTATGTTTAATTTAGTTTTTTTTGTTCATAACGACATTTAAATAGTTAATAACAAACTAGACACGTGGACCGTGTTTGAATGAGATGTTAGATTGTTGCTAATGTGGTCATTTTGCACACTTGCTTAGGTAGTCATGTGACATCATTCCTTCATTATTGTGAATGCAACCACCATTTGAGTTACCATCTTTTGTTCCTCTACCACATCTAATTTCACCACCATCGTGAGTGCATTATTAGTTAGGAGAAATCACAAATCATCTCGTGCCTTCAACGCAAAATGGGAATCCATCTTCTCGAAACCCTTAATTGCAAATCATACATAGTACAAATCCAGAATCACTCTCAACATTAAGATTTTCGTGATGGTGGTGTCACGATTTATGCTTATGATTTTTAAGTTTCTGTTTCGATTTAGGTGGCGCAATTTAAGGCTTTCATTGTGTGATATTGCCATTAGGGTTTGTTGGTTAATTCCTTGTTCTCGAGGTGATTGATCTTCACTATTTGCGGTGGACTTGCAGGTTTGTGGCCTCGTTGCATATTTGTGGTGTTTGATGGCATGAATTTGCATTTGTGGTTGATGGTTGTTGTGGTTTGTGGTAACTCACAATTTGGGGATTTCATTAATGCTGTCAAAACGGATCATCTGGCCCGACCCGGCTCGACCTACCATGGGTTGGCCACTTAGTGAGTCAACCCAACTCGACTCACTTATTGGTGAACCAAACAAATTTGAACTTGGTTCGACTTATCATAGGTTTGTGGGTTTAATGGGTTGTCTCACTAACTTACTTAATTACATGTTTTTTCTTTTCAATTTCAATAAAAATAACAATTTTTTTCTAATTCAAATCTAAATAAAGGAGAAAAGTCTTAAATGAAAAATACCACAAAATCTCTTCAACAAAGTTTTTAATGGCTTCATAAAGATTCAAATTTATTTTTGCATAAAAATTGAGTTACTAAGTATAGATTTGTGAATTTTTTATGTTGCGTAATTATTTCATACAAAAATAATTTCATGTAGACCGCTGTTTCAATATTTTGTAAAATGACTAGCACAAAAAAGGTACTTATTAGAAAAATTAGGTGGGTTGGTGAGCTAACTTGGCTCACCATGAGTTCAATCCGGGTGAATCGGGTTCTTAGTGAGCTAGACTCAAAATTGACCCGTATCGAAAGTTTAAATTTTTGTCAACCCAACCCAACTCGAACTCATGATGGACCGGGTTGGCTCGTGAGTTTCAACGCATTTTGATAGCACTAGTTTTCATGAAGTAAAAATGATTCAATGGATTCTGTTGATGTGGCATTGTGAACGAATATGATCTGTGGTGGTTGTCATCGTGAATGGGTGACAGTAGTGACACAACCAACAGTGGTGTCATGGTGACTAACAGCGTGGAGGAGGTCATGGTGGCTGCCTAGGGTTTTTGGGAATGTTAGGAAGAAAATTAGATGACGAGTTAACCACGTCAGAAAAAATGGAACATGTCATTCAACACACTACTCATATTAACGATTTAGACTGTACTATAAAAAAAGAATCAAATTGAACATAAATTACAAAAATTAAGATCACATTGAATACTAAAAAATGAGTTGCACATAGAATATTAAAAAATGAAGAGGGTTACTCCCTACACCACTCCACATTGCTCCCTACACCACCACATTTGAAAAAAATTCTAAAACTATCCTCTATATTTTAAAAAATCTTACACCCCCACTTCTTTTCTTCAACGGATATGCCACATCCGTTCAAGATTTATGTTTTTTTTTAGTTTATCAATTTCCTGTATTTTAAATTAATATATAGATATTATTTAATTTTTTAAAATTTGTTATGTAATTCTATATTAATTAATTTTATTTTATTTAATAAAATAATAATTATTAATTTAATTAAATTGTATTATTTTTAATTAATTATGTTAAACGAATATGCCACATATGTACTCACATCCATTCAAGTTTTTTTAGTTTATTAAAATATTATATTTTAAATTAATTTATAGAGTATTTAATTTTTTTTTTTTTTTTATAATATATTACGTAATTATATGTAAATTAATTTTATTTTATTTAATGAAATAATTATTATTAATTTAATTAAAATGACTTTTGTTTTACTTTAATTATGTTTATTTAATTGATTATTTAAATATTTTTTATTTGATTAGTTGAACAGATATGCCACTTTATGTGCCCACATCTTTTCGAGGCTTTTTTCTTATATATTTTTTTAGTTTTTAGTTTATTAATTTATTATATTTTAATTTAATTTATAGAGTATTTAAAATTTTTTGTTTTTTTATATATACAAATAAAAAAACATTATTAAAATAAAATCTAAAATAAAATAATAAACTAAAATAACGAAAAAGAAAGATACGGATATCAACATCCGTTGAAGGTGAAACGGATGTTGACATCCGTTTTACTAGAAGAACAAATTAGGCATGAGGTTGTGCATGGAGCATTTGGTCGTGGTGGGAGAGCAACTTTTGAATTACAAATACAACGAAAATAGAGGCCAAAAAGTATTTAAACCTTATATTTATTTTCCAGTTTTATTCTTTAAATATTTTTATAAAAATTAAAATAATTATTTTACTAATTTTAAATTTAATCGTCATCTTTTATTTGACTATTTTTTAAATTTAATTATTTTTTAATTATTAAAAAATCATTTATAAATAACAAAAACTATTTACAATATAATTATAAAAATTATTTATATTTAATTTTATAATTATAATAATAACAATAATAATATTTATTCTTTTTTATTATCATAAAAAAAATAAACACAAATAAATATAAATAGTATATATGTTTTCATTAGTAAATAATTATGAATTTTATTAATAACAGAATATATATATATTACTTTAAATGTCTTAAAAGCATAAACTTTTAACATATTCAATATTTAACTAAATAAATAATAAATAAAAATAAATATTGCGTGAGAAAACAAAAAAAAGTTAAGAGATAGTGTATCAGGACAAAATATTTATAAATATTTTTATTATTATTGTAAGGTTTTAAGGAAAATGATATGTTGATTATTAAGTTTTTGTAACTTTTTTTTACTCTCTAAACTATCATTCTAAGTGCACATTATAATATAACTTTTGAATTAATTTTTTTTTTGTCCAGTAGAAAGGAGAAAAGTGTTTTGGGTTTCAAATGTAATTTAGGTTTTTCTTTTCACTCTTCCCTTCTCTCATTTGTTCTTCAAAGTTTGTTAAGAGTGTTTGTCTTCTCTCCTTCGCTCCTCCCTTCTCCCATTTTCGATTCGCCGTTGTTGTTACTGGAATCACTGGTGAAAGGAGAACGTATTATATTAAAATAACATATTTCAAATATAAGTGCACATGTTTTAGTATTAGTGTGGGCACATCTTTCTTTCTGAATGACTATAAATTGAATTCTGAAAGATTAAATTGAAGACTTTTTTATTACTGAAATTAATAGCATTAAATAATGTAATATTTAAAATAAAATACATTAATTAAATAATAATAACTTTATTATTAAAAATTCTTATTTTCAAGTAAATTATTTAGGATATCAAAAGTTTTAATAAAAATAAAATAAAGACAATAATGTTTAAAAGTGGTTGCAATGATAAAAAATAAAAATACAATTAAAAAATTGTTAGTATAATAAAATTAGTTAAAAATATTATTAAAATTGTAAAAACATAAAAGATGTTTATAACTTTTTATTAAATTTTATCATATTATAGTGATATGATAGAAATACTCATAACTTCTGGTCAAAATAAAGTAGAATTAAATACATATATTTTTATTTATCCAAAGCGTCTTTTAAGAAAAAAAAATACACTAATATATTTTGAATATGATAATTGACTCTATTGGTGATGTATGCGTAAACTAATAAGATAGCTTATTTATTCTCCATAAATATATGGAAAGTGATTGGTAAAATTAAATTATCACTTCTAATAAAAAATAATTAATTATAAGAATGTACAAGATACTAAGTCTCAATAACTTTAACATCAATTTTAGAAAATTAATACAAATAACTAAAATTGAATGCTACTAATTAAATGAAAAAAACTTTTACTGAGTTAATTGGTTAAAAGATTTTTTTTCTAACAGGCTGTGTCCAGATTAGTTGAAACAAAAGAAGGAGCTGTTTTTGGTGATCATTGATAACAAAAAAATTAGTTTTTCTTTGTGTGTGTTGGGGGTTAACTTGTTGGTTTAAATGGCTACCAAAATCCAATATTTTATTCAATGGATCCAATATACATTACAGTCTCTTATTTTCTGAAAATTAACAAATAAACTAATAGTTGTTACAAAAATCACTATACTCTTTTTTACACCTCCAATTTCTGAGATTTATTTTGGTTTTTGATAAAAGTGTATGAATGATTTTAACAATGATGTATCTTCCATTTCCTTGGACAAATGAAAAGAAAGTTGAGATGATTTAGTTTCCTTCTCCCTGCAATAAAAACCAATAACATGTAACCAAATAATTTGACTTAGAGATAATATTCAACGCAGTAAAGAATCTGAAGAGGAAAAATAAAAAGCATAATGCTTTAACAATATTCAAGCACAGTTTTGAAAATCTCTCAGACTTATAATGCTTGAAAGGTACACAGATTTTTTATTTTCACTTTTTGTTTGAAACATGGTGCAACATTTTTTTTTGTTATCAATAATACTATATCAGAAAACATAGGTCTTGTTAATGCACCAGAAAGTTCTGGTACACATGGAATCAGTGTTTGAGCTGGAAATTTTCCAGTGGATGCTTTTTTTTTACCTGTCAATTATCTTATCAGGTTTGGAGCAATAAGGCTATAACAAATGCATGCAACAATTCACTTTAGGGACAGAAACATGTCATGTTCATGTCCAAAAGCTATTAGCAGCTAGTGTTGTGAAATATTCCTCATGGTTTTTGTCCAGAAAAGTAACAAGAATAATTCTTGATCAGGTTCCTTGATGGAAAATTTTAGCACTAAAATGCTTTTAGTTGTTTAGTCATATCTGATACTGAAGCACATATTTATCCAACACTGTCTTTTGACATTGAAACAATTGACACAACACATGAGCATGAACATGACTTCACCAGTAGATATAGGCAAAATTAACCCTTTTAATGTTTATTCCCACTTCAAGTCGGTTAGGTATTTTTCATTAGTCTAAACTCTTTTTCAAGAATATATATTTTAATCTTTGGTCAGTTAACATATCACTACATCCTGCATCTGAAATATTGAAAATTTAGACTTTTTCTCACTCTGAAACCACACTCTTCCACATTCACTGTTTGTTTCATACTAAGTGAACTAAATGGTTTAGATCTGATACATCAATCATTGAAAAGAGGTGCATGGCATGGGAAAAAATGGCAGGTATGATAAAGAAAAAATTATGGAAATTATTGGAACAAAAGGGAGATGTATGAGAGATAAGACTAACAAATCAGAGCCATGGGTAAAACTTGTGGGGTTTGAAATTCTAACAAGAGGTTCTGAGGGCTTTTCTTTTTAATCTGATGCAACTGATTTGGACTTTTGTTCAGCTGAAGACAAGAAGAATTTCATTCACAGAAAAATTCATATGCATGATTGCAAGTGGGAGATAAGGAAGATGGAGACTCATTATCTTATTTTAATATTCAAAGAGTGATGAAGGTTTTCTTGGGGTGGTTAAGGTCGGCACAAGAGTCCACTTGTGACATGTATGAATTTGATAGCATTTGACAAGTTCTACTTTAATTGATATTTTGACAGAAACTTTCTATAATAATGTTCCAAAACTTTTCCATTAAATTATTTTGTTCTAATTTGTACGTAACTAGAAAGTGAAGACATCAACATAAATTTTCCTTTGAAGCCTTGGACTAAATTTTCTCACAACCATATTTTTTTCCTTCTTCTGGCATTTTTAATTTGTTGACATGTTAGAATAAATGAATGAATCCATTAAATGTTCAGTAGCAATCTTCATATCTAGCATATGACGTATAAGGTTTGAGAAAAAAAATATCAAAAGCCCTATACTTGCATTGTATGTTTATATCATTTTAATTCACTTTTAGTTTCAGTATTCATGTATCCCACAAATACTGAAACAGTACCAATTACCTTGAAAATAAAATACAAGGAAAATTATTCAAATGGAAAAGAAAAATACATGAAAAATTAAATTTTTCTCACCTTAATAGCTTTGTATGACAAGATATGTCGTATGGAAATTCCTCTGTTTTCTTATGAGACTTCTCTTCTGATCACCATCTTGAAAGCTCCAAAGCTAAGATGAAGCTTACAACTATGCATACAAAAAAATTGACTGACAAAATCTGCAGATTAAAAAGATGGAGATACATTAGAACTATTCAATCAAAATATATAATCTACCAGCCAGATATTAAAAAAAAATAGATGAAAATTTTCGGTAGTGAGTTAAAGTTCCATCATGTGTATACTTACATTGGATTTAGCTGCCATAGGCATTTGTGGAAGATAACCCTTCAATCCAATGTTGTAAACTGGAGTACCATTAGGATAGTAAAGGCCATAGTTTCTCTCTGAAGCTGGACCGGGTTTCAAATCCTCATTAAAAAGTGCAAAGACATAAATATCAATAGTAACAGATGGTTTTGCAGGAGTGCCTTGTTTCTGCTCTATTCTCTTGAGCAAGTTACTATTGTACAGTTCTGCATTCTGTGGAGTAGCTCCAACCTCTTCAGGGTCACCATTAGAAGGCCAACCAGTCTCAGAAATCCTCACTTGAATGTTATCATGCCCCATTTGTTTGATGGCAGCATAGACAGCATCAATTTGAGCATATAACATGTTGTCATAGTGCAAATTGGTATTTGGATCAACCGTGCCTTGATTTGGCTGAAAAAGAACATAGTTTAAGGGAACCACATCTGGGTTGTCTTTGTATGTAAAGAAAGGGTATGCATTAATTAGGAAAGGTGAGTTGATTTGAGCATGAAAATCAAGAAGGGGTTGTATATATTGTGCAAGATCTTCCCTAAAAGCCCCAGATGAAGGAGGGTAGGAATTGGATAATATGTTGAAGGAATGAGCAGTTGTGACAGTAACTTGCTGATCTAGTCCAAGATTAACAAGGGCATCGTGCACAGTTTGCATTGCTGGAAGGAGGTTCAACATTAGCTGAGTATCATTGCTATTGAACACCTCATTTCCCACAGTGATGCAAGTGATTTTGGTCTGTGAGAAGTAAGGTTGGACATGCTGTTGAATCCAAGTTTGAGCTTTAGAAGGGTCTGTCATGTTCTCTAGGTACTCATTTCCTAGTCCTATAACGAATTCCACATTGGATTCTGAGAAGGCAACCAAAACATTTGGATCAGCATCATACAGTTTGATCCTACTCACATTCAAAGATTTTATAAGAACAGCTACTTGAGATGGAAGAGGTAAATTGTTGGCTATCTGTCCGTAGTTGATTCCAAAACCAAGGCCATGGATTTTCACTAACAAATCTGTAAACACATTTGTAAGAGAGAGAAAATAAATCAGCTTAAAATTCTTAATGCAGTTTCACTTGCACAAATGATCAAACATTGAATCGACAAAGCTCTCTAAGTCAGATTAAATATTTAACAATGTGGAGAATAGACACTACTCCAAGTTAAGAGCATGAATTGGCTAAAACAATGGTTGATTCCTCATATAAAGCTATTATGATCACAACAACTCAAGAAGAGTACATAGAATGTTCCATTTCCAATGTATGAATAGAATAAGACTATCTATATCAAAACTTTATTTTCTTTCCTTCTCTTTTCTTTTTCATCCACTTTTCTGGAATCAAATGGGATCAAGCACAAGTAGACAAAGCAGATAACAAACCCGAAATGGAGAGAAGAAACAAAATCGTTGATACAAAGAAGGAACAACTTTTTATTACTGATCTGATCATCATCATGGCCAAGGACCCCAGCTCAGAGCACCACAATTTTAGGCACAGAAACTGAGATAATGCAACACTTGGCCACCAATACAGNATAATAAATTAAAAACTATAAATTTAAAAAGAAAAAACTTCATGGATGTTGCCACATCCATTTTAATAAATTTTTAAAAACTATTTTATTATTTAAATAATAATACATAAATTAAATTAATAATAATTATTTTATTAAATAAAATAAAATAAATTTATAATTAATTAAATAATAATTTAAAAAAAAATTAAATAATATTTATATATTAATTTAAAATATAATAAAATAAAAAACTAAAAACTTTGAAAAGAAAAAAACTTCACGGATGTGTAACATCCGTATCCGTTTTAATAAATTTTTAAAAAGTATTTTAATTATTATTTAAAATAATAATACATAAATTAAATTAATAATAATAATTTTATTAAATAAAATTAAATTAATTTATAAATAATTAAGTAATAATTTTAAAAAATATTAAATAATATTTATATATTAATTTAAAAACTTAAAAAAAAAAAAACTAAACGGATGTGGCACATCCGTTGAAGAATTTTTTCTTCAACAGATGTCGACATCCGTTCAAAAGAAAAGGAGGAGGTGTAGGATATTTTAAAATATAAAGGATAGTTTTGGAATTTAAAAAAAGTGTGATGGTGCAAGAAGCAATGTGTGGTGGTGTAGGGAGTAACTCTCTACAAAAGGTTATTAAGTTAGAGAAAAGAAACTTAATGAAGTCTCAATTTATATCTTAATTGCTTTTTATTTGTAAAATTTTTAGATGTTTAATACTTTATTATTATTTGATAGTTATATACTCATGTAGGAATAAGCAAAATAAAGTGTACTAATAGTTAAAAACTGTTAATGAATCAAAAAATACTTACTCTATATCAGTTAAACTCAATTATTTTTTGTTTTATAAAATTATACTACACTAAATTTTAATTTGTTTCACACATTATGCTAAATTTTTATAAAAACCTTGAAAAAAAAAGAAAAATTAACATTTATGGTTAAATTTGTTTGACTCGGCCGAATTTTCATTGGGGCCGATTTGGTATAATTTAGATAAATTTTAGTCAGGCTGACAAAATCTAGTTAAGAAGAATTTAGCCAGATCGACTTGGTCAAATTTGATCGAACTTTGATCGTTGGCGACTCAATCAAATTTGGTAAAATTTTGACTAGGATTGACTTGGTTTAATCTTTTGGACAAACTTTGCTGAATTCGACAAAATTTTGGTGATAACTAACTTGATCAAATTTGGCCAAATTTCAGTAGAGTTCAACTCAACCAAATTTAAGTCAAGTTACTCTTGACCAAATTTGACCAAATTTAAGTCAAGTTCAACTTGACCAAATTTGACCAAATTTAAGTCAAGTTCAACTTGACCAAATTCTGGTCATGACCGAATTAATCAAATTCTGGTAATGACCAAATTAATCAAATTCAGCCAAAATTTGGCTAAGACTGACTCAGTCAAACTTCAATGAAGTTGAATGGGTCAAATTTAGGCAAAATTTCGCGCGGCCAACTCGATTAAATTCGGCCAAATTTTGGTCACGATCAAATTTAGCCAAATTTTGATTGTGGCCCGACTTGATCTATCTCAACCTTTGGTCTGATTCGATCTATCTCAATCTTGGACTCAGACAGACCTGTCACTATCTTCGCCTTGGGTTGACCCCTTGACCTTTTACCTAGACCAATTCATCTCGATCTTCGATTCAGGACGATTTGTCTCAATCTTTGATTTGGATCGATATGTCTCGACCTTTTGCTCGTGCACCTATGTGTTACTATACATTTCATCAACAAGGTAGTTTTAAGTTAAAAAATAGTTAACTGAACTACAACTTTAAAAACTTTAGGTTTTTAAAATTAAAATATAAAGTGGTTTGATTCAATTTTTATATTAAATAGTTTAATATTAATATAATATAATATAGTTAGTTAATTTTGCTTATTTTTATATTTANTTCTTCAATTATATAATATAAATTAATTTTATTTATAGGAAATCTATATAAATCAAGCATAGGGTCAACTTTTTAATTATTGAGGTTAATGATAACTTTGAAGACATTTCCCTCTATCAAAGTGTCACAGTGAAAACAAAAACTGGGAAGAGAAGCAAAGCCACAAGACTTTGAACGTTAAATCTGCCACTAAAATGGCCAGATGTTAATTAATTAATTAAGTAATATATGAAATAATGTTAATGGTTTTATATTAAAATGAAAATGTTTACATGAATCTTAGTGAAGCGCACGTGTTGAGCAAAAGGTGCTGCATGAAAGCCGCTGATATATACCTTCGAAGTGGGACGTGTTTGGTGTTCTCTGAAAACCGATCTTTCGATCTACGTAATTGGATCTAATTCATTCATTATATAAAACCTACAATTGTAAACAATAAGTTATTTTTTTACAAATTACTAACAATATAATTAATAATTCTTGGTTCTATTATATTTTCGGTAAAATATAAAATAATTAATTTTAATTAATTAAAGTTATATAAATTTATATAAAAGGTATTTTTAAAGATAAAAATACCTTTTCTATTTGTTTGTTTCAAAGCAAAAATATATCTATAAATATTTTTTTTTATTTCAAATATTAAAATATTGTTTGTTTATTTAATATAAGAGATTTTGTTAAGTTAACAAACATGTTACAAAAGGTTATTGAAAAGTTAGAGAAAAGAAACTTAATGAAGTCTCAATTTTATATCTTAATTGCTTTTTATGTGTAAAATTTTTAGATGTTTAATACTTTATTATTATTTGATAGTTGATATACTAATGTAGGAATAAGCAAAATAAAGTGTACTAATAGTTAAAAACTGTTATGAATCAAAAAAATACTTAGTCTATATCAGTTAAACTCAATTATTTTTTGTTTTATAAAATTATACTACACTAAATTCTACTTTGTTTAACAAATTATGCTGAATTTTTATAAAAACCTTGAAAGAAAAAGAAAAAATAACATTTATGGTTAAATTTGTTTGACTCGGCCGAATTTTTATTGGGGACGATTTGGTATAATTTTGACAAATTTTAGTCAGACTGACAAAATCTAATTAAGAAGAATTTAGTCAGATCGACTTGGTCAAATTTGATCGAACTTTGATCGTTGTCAACTCAATCAAATTTGGTAAAATTTTGATTATGATTGACTTGGTTTAACCTTCTGGGCAAATTTTGCTGAATTCGACAAAATTTTAGTGATAACTGACTTGATCAAATTTGGCCAAATTTCAGTAGAGTTCAACTCAACCAAATTTAAGTCAAGTTCAACTTGACCAAATTCTGGTCATGACCGAATTAATCAAATTCTGGTCATGACCAAATTAATCAAATTCAGCCAAAATTTGGCTAAGACTGACTCAGTCGAACTTTAATGAAGTTGAATGGGTCAAATTTAGGCAAAATTTTGCAAGGCCAACTCGATTAAATTCGGCCAAATTTTGGTCACGGTCAAATTCAACCAAATTTTGATTGTGGTCCGACTTAATCTATCTCAACCTTTAGCCTGATTCGATCTGTCTCAATCTTTGACTCAGACTAACCTGTCACTATCTTCGACTTGGGTTGACCCCTTGACCTTTTACCTAGACCAATTCATCTCGATCTTCGATTCAGGTCGATTTGTCTCGATCTTTGGTTTGGATCGGTATGTCTCGACCTTTTGCTTGTGCACCTATGTGTTACTATACATTTCATCAAGGTAGTTTTAAGTTAAAAAATAGTTAACTCAACTACAACTTTAAAAATTTTAGGTTTTTAAAATAAAAATATAAAGTGGTTTGATTCAATTTTTATATTAAATAGTTTAATATTAATATAATATAATATAGTTAGTTAATTTTGCTTATTTTTATATTTATGAATATATTTTTTTGCCTAAATAAAATAAAATTAATATTAATGATTATTAAAGTTAGAGTTAATATTAACTTTTGTAGAATTCTATGTTTATTAAAAAATATCCACTTTTAATTCTAAAGTACTACTTGTGCTAATGGTGGTGTAATTGAATTTGAGTTTATTAGCCATTATAATGGATTATAGTTGTCAAAGACTTTATCAATAACACGATATTATTTAAATGTCATGATAATAACTGTGGACGAATCTTAAATTTTAAACTTGGGTATTATGTAACTTATTGAGTTTTAAGAAAAACAAATATTTAATTACAATAACTAAAATATTTTTTAAAATTATGCAAATTTAGAATGAGAAAAAAATTATTAAAGTGTGGGTCTAATAAGGTCTTACCATTAAGAAAACTTGTGTAAAAAATCTTAAAAATAATAGGGCATGATGTGACTCAGTTAAAATAATATAAGATGTAATAAGTTGTAAAATCTTTGAATCAGAAATGTTTTAAAGAAAGAGTGGGTGTGAACAATTACTTTTACTTTAATTAACTAGCTAAAAAATAAGTTTTTTTATACCTAAAAATATTTTGATAATTTTTAATTTAATCATTTAAGCTAGCTAATAAATTTTTATTATTACCCTCATGCTTATTTACTTTATAAATCTCTTCTTTTTTTAACATTTTGTGTCTTACTAATGAGAAATAAGAAATAAATAAGAGAACAAAGTTCGTTAGCAAGAATTGATTTGAAGTGAAAGAAAAGTGAAGTAGTATGATTTAACGAAAAGATAATGTACTTAAGTAGAAAGTTTATTTGTATAAGCAATTGATTTGATTGAATTAATGAAGATTAATATTTTTTTAGTTTAATGTTAAAATTATTCTTAGGTGAATTATATAAAATAAACCTTTTCAAATGGGTCATTAATTAATTAAAGACTAATCTAAATATTATTTCTTTTAATAATCAAAACTTTAATATTTCATGATAAAATTTAGTTTAAAATTTAATTTATAAAATAATTATAATTTTTTATTTATAATTAAAACTATTTTAAATACCAATAATTTTTAATTAATAAATTAAAATAAAATAATAATAATTATAGTGGGTAATTATTTTTATCTTCATAAATAGTTGTTATTTAAAACTTGT